GAAGTAGTACTCAGGTTCTTCTTCTGCAGAATTATCATCATCAAGACCGCCTTGACGAACTTTAATTTTACGAAAATACCTCACAATGCATGCACTCCAAGTAAATTACTAGAATTAACATATCTTCTCAAATAGTAAGTTCTGTGGGGATATGAAGAATTCGAGTATCAAAGTGAACGAAAGTATCTGTTACTCTTACTCCAGCAAAGTAAAGCTCTGTGGGTAAGAACTTACTCTTACTTACCTTACTTATAAAGAAAGTACCTCTTAGTCCACAACAAACGAAAAGAAATTACCTTCGCAAGTTACAGCCAATACTCGGGCACTTCCCACATCCACTTTTACTTGCTCTCTGGGGAAAGCACACACACAACGGAGCATTTTAGCAGCTTGATCATTGCTGTAGTACACCAGATAAGCAAAGCCAGCATCCGACATTACAGTGCGCGCCTCCTTGTCATAGCGCACTTCCTTCATTGAAACTCGACTTTTATGTGTTATAAGCGGATGCAGACGCAGTAATTTTGTTGTCACAGGATCAAAATGACTTTCTGCACATTTTTCGCGCAATTCTTCATAATCGATACGCTACAAAAAACAAACAATTTTTGATCGTTCTTTGGAAAAAAAATATATATGTATATATAAATATGCACAAGTTGAAAGAATCTTTAGTGGAAAGCATGGGGGAAACGATGTTTCTAAGAATGGTACACAATGCTACCGACAATTGCTGATGGTACTGATGGTACCCACTGCTACCGACAACCACTACTCTGTCCGTGTTTGCAGCCAGGGGATAAGCAGACTACGTTTCACGGCATCTTATTCGCACGTTCACTTAGCACATATCGTAAATTCCACCCTCGCTCATTTCATATTTCTATTTCGAGCAAAAAAAAGTATGAAAAATATGAATCTGAAAGCTGTAATAATGAAAAACAAGTTACTGTCAGGCTAAAATGTCAGAGATGCGAGTAAGACCTCTCGAAATCGTTTAGCTCTCCTTGTGAAGCCACGGGTTAAACATCTACTCTGTCTAACAGGATAAAAAGTGCTTTCCTTTACTGAATTCAACCACGCAGAAATCTAAACCCAGGCTGGAACGCACCAAGCTGTAATAATGAAAAACAAGTTACTGCGATCATGCGTTTTTGCACTAAACTCGCAGATCGCTATTAGCAAGAATGATCCCTACGCTGTAG